TCCTCCTTGGTTTTTCTATCTGTGGGCAGATGACAGTGCATGAAAACCTTTTCATAGAATTCAGTGACATCTCTTGGGACACGGAGGCCAAGCTTTGAACGGCTAGCTAGTTTCCAGGCTGACAGCTGATGTGACTATTGTTCCCCTTTTTCACTTATTCAACTTGCATCTCTCTCTCTCTCTCTCTCTCTCTCTCAACTCAACAGAAAAGTTCAGATGGTTCACCAAGTAAATGCTATAACTTAGAAGCATCTTTCCCGTTTTGTTCTTTCTATTTCGTTGTTGATTTTTCTATTTATCAAGAGATAGGAAAAAAATCCCTTGATTCAGGGGTGGGCTTCAAATTTTATAGCCAGGGTCTCTCTGCCCTAATGACTGGCTGGGTGGGTGTGGGTGGGTGGTCATGTGATGGGGTGGGTGTGGCCAACTTGACGTTGCTTCTTTGCCCTAATTACCTAAAAAAAAAGATAAAATAAAAAAAGACAAAAAGTTATTTATTGTTTCGTGCATTTAATGCTTAAATAAAAGACTGGGTAAAACCAGGCTTAATAGCAGTGACTGTGAGAGGAATCTTGGAGTTTTTGGTGAGTTACATGATTCTTATTATTTGGGAATTAATCCCCTTGGAGGTTAGTGGCTACGTTATCTGGTTTTCTCAATGGCTCTCCCTCACAAGTGCTGAGTGGATTGTTTATCTAGCTTGCAACACTTTTACAAGGTGTGAAATGCTCTTGGATGAATGCCCAGAAGTTCAATTAAGCCTATTAAGAACTTTCCCTTGCTGCTTGTCTTTCTGAGGTTATTGGAGGCTCTCCGAGCCCCGCAGAGTCTTCGCCCCCAGTAGCCATCCCCTGCCTTGATTCAGAGGAAGCCCATCCCACTTTCTCTCCACTTATTTCTCTTTCTGAATTTGAAGACCAGAACTGATTTAACAGAATAACAGAGTTGGAAGGGATTTTGGAGTTCTTTTAGTCTAACTCCCTGCTCAAGTAGGAGACCCCATATCATTTGAAACAAATGGTTCTCTGGTCTTTTCTTAAAAAAACCTCCAGTGTTGAAGCCCCCACAACTTCTGGAGGCAGGTTGTTCCACAGATTAATTGTTCTAGCTGTCAGGAAGTTTCTCCTTAAAGGTGAAGGCAGCATTTCCAAAAGATAATTGTTTCCACAGTAAGAAGTGCTGGCTTGCTGAATTATAGATGGCTGAAGGAACATTGATTCTCCTTATTAAATATGTGCGTGCACCTTCAAAAAGCGACGGCACATAAAAATTATATTTGCATTTTCTAATGACTCCTTTGTGTGAAGGATTACTTATTGGAATATGCAAGAGGTATTTGTTTGTTTGTTTTTATTTGCTACAGTGCCTATGCTGCTAAATCTTCCCCAGGCTCTGAGCTACTTGCAATTCAGTGCGCACAGGAAAATAAAAACTATACATCAAATGGTACAATAAAATCCAAATCCAAATTCATAGTAGATGACAATATCACTGTTTTGTGTTGTTGTGCTGTGTTGAATGGTGGTCACCAAGAAGAAAAGCCTTATCAATAATGGTATATTATTGACTGAGAAAGATAGGAAGGAAAGAAGGAAGGAAGGAGGAAAGACAGGAAGGAAGGAGGAAAGGAAGACAGGAAAGAATTAAGGAAGACAAGAATGAAGGAAGAAAGGAAGACAGGAAGACAAGAAGGAAGGAAGGAAGATAGGAAGGAAGACAGGAAAGAAGATGAAGAAAGGAAGGAAGGCAAGGGAGGAGAAGAGAAATTCCAATGAAATCTGAAGAAGTAAAGAAGACCAACTCAAAGATCCTTTTCCAAAAGGCAAGTGGACTTTCTTGGTTTCTTCTGTTGAAAACATTTCGCTTCTCATCCAAGAAGCTTCCTCAGTTCCAACTCAGTTAGAAGTGAAGAAGCTTCTTGGATGATCAACGAAACATTTTCAAGGAACAAAACCAAGTAAGTCCAGTTGCTTTTTGGGGGAAAAAAATAGTACAACCACAATCTGAATGACTGAGACCAACCTTTTCAGACATGAGCCTTGTAAGTTGTTGCATCTGAATTATTGTAATGACCATAGAGGAACGTTGGGAAGCAACAGTTACACGATATGGGATATTTATTTAAACAAAGCTTCCCCCCCCCCCCCATCTATTAACAATAACGCATAATGCCCTAGGTGGCTGTGCATAACAAGGATTATAGAGAAGAACATGAAACTGTGATAGAAGGATCTCAGGTCAATGCTTTTTAGAGATGATGGAGAAAGTGGACACAAGTTAACCTTTAGTTCTGCTATCTGAGATCTTTCCAGACCAAAATCAAGGAGGAAAACAGCGAGATTTTATACATAGACCCAAACAGCTCACACAAAACTATTTGCACATCGGTGCATTTGGGAAGAGTGAATCCCATACATTTGCATTCAAATAGGCAACATTCCATACCAGACACACGATTTCTGATCCGAAACATCCAGCGGAGGATGAGAAAGTGTGAAACAGCCCAGAAATATTCTCTGCGTTTGGACCCATCCTACTCTTACGTACTCCAAAATGATTATTCATTGTTTATTCCATCTGATTTGTCTGCTATCGTGGAGACGTTTTATTTATACGTGGCTGGCTTTTTAATTCGCATTTTTTTGTTTGTTCAGGCAGGGTGTGATCATAGGATGTTAATATTTGCATTTCATCAAAACATGAGGTTCTTTCTCTCTTTTCATCATGGAATTGTTCATTGGGCAGAGGACTTAAAGTAGCGTAGAGTTTATGAAGAACAGGATTCATCTTAATCAACTGGTGTAATATTATTTTTTTCACTCGTGTTTTCAGCCTATACTCCTGCACCTCCACAAATTGACAAAATATACTATTTATGGGAACATTCTAACTCGAATTTAGGATGTCCTGAACAAACATGCAAAAACCACCAGATATAGTTAAAATTTCTGTTCCTAAGCGAGACTTCTGTTAAGTTAATTTTGTCTCATGTTGTTGTGGCCCTCCGGCAGCTGATGGATCTGGCAGCAGATTCAGACAGTGAGGAGGTTAGGGAGGAATCTGGCCTAGTCCCTGAGGAAGGCTCAGGCGAGGGCTCTGTCTCAGAGGCAGAGATGGGGCCAGGGCAGGCTGGCAGTTATCAGCTGCCTTTGGGCTCGGACAGCAGTGAGGCAGAGGAGCAGTTGGAGCCAGTTCCCAGCCTGCTCATGTGCAGAGTTGCCAAAAGAAAAGAACAATTATGAACTAAGGGTCAACATGGGAGTGAACTCACAGGTGGTCTAAGAATGGGCCCTCCCATAAGAGGAACAAAAGGGGAGGGAGCTTTTGCAGGAAACAATTCGTTTTTTCATTCCATCATTGTGAAGATCTGTCTATGCATCCTAGAGATTTTATGCTAAAGCCTTCCCTGTCAGCACTGCATTTGGAAATATTTACCGGTCAGCTTTCCACGATAGATAAGGTCTGTGCTTCTAATTACACCCTTGAAAGATTGTTTGCCAGGCTGTTGGCTGAATGTGAATGCAAAAAATTCACATTTGTTTAATAAAGGGGTTTTTGCTGGGACAAAAAGTCTGCTTAGTGCTTTTTGGGGAAACCTAGTATAGAACACATGTTAAAAACTTTCTTGTCGCAGTTGTTAAGTGAATCATTGTAGTTGTTAAGACAGCCACACAGTTGTTCAGTGAATCTGCTTCCCTGTTGCCATTACCTTGCAGCCTTACTCCTGAGTCGCCTGTGTTGCTACAGCTGCTCTTTCCTGCGAGTAGGCCTGTGTGCACACACACTGGGCACAGGCTCCTCGGGGACCTCCTCATCGGTGTTGCCAGCCCCCACAATCTCTGAAGGCAGCAGTCCACTCCCTAATGGTCCTGGCCCTTCATCTGAGTCCTCACTCTCCTCAGCTGTCCGCACCTGCGGCCAGCTAACCACAACACGTCCTGGGGAGCCACGTGATCTCTTTTGAGACCTTCTGACCAGCAAAGTCGATTGGAGAAACCAAACTCACTTAATAACCAGGTTACTTTTAACAACTGCAATGATTCACTTAACAACTCTGGCAAAGAAGCTTTTAACACAAGACCAAACTTACTTAACAACTGTCTTGCTTAGCAACAGAAATATTGGGAGTCCACTGTGGTCTTAAGTCAAAGGCTGCCTGTATATATGATCAGTTTATTATTACCAGCAATTATCCGTAGTCTATGATTATTTTCTCTTTGATGTTTCATTTGTTATTCCCATATCGAGAAATAGATAGCAAATATTGGAGAAGAGCAAAAAAAAAAAAAGTTGGAAGGATAATTATGTGTTCAGGAAATGTGACTTAGATCTGTTTGTAAATAAAACCTGAATCCAATACATTTGTTTCTCACTTCTTCTTTGTTCACTACAAAACTATATTTAACATTCATGGGCTGTTTCAGGAGTCACAGTAAAATAGCTTGTATTCTTAAGAACGGTGGCTAATGATCTTGACTAATACATGGCAGGAGTGGGATTCAGTTCGGACTCATTCTATAGAACCGGTTGTTACGATTCTGTGCAGTTCAGAGAACCGGCAAATTGTGCCCCTGGCTGGCCCTGCCCCTCTCTGCCCACCCGCTCCTTGCCCAGTCAGTCTTTATCGCGCATGTGTGGGCACCCCTCTGCGCTCCAGTTTTTGTCTTCCTGGACCCCAGGGAAGCCTTCCGGGAGCAAAAAAGAGGGTGTGCCCTGCTAAAAAACAAGAAGAAGCCACACCCGCCCAGTCACATGGCAATGCCTACCTAGCCATGCCCACAGAGCCACGCCCACAGAACCGGTTGTTAAAAAATTGGAATCCCACCCTTTGATGCATGGTAATATTAGATTACCTATTACATCTGTTTCCTGTGGGGATCCTCGGATTAGCCACCCAACAATGTTAAGATTAGAAAATGTCCCTTACCTTATTCCAGGATTGTCATGTCCGGTGCGGAATGGTTTAACATGTTATTTCTTCTCTTTTCTTTTCTTTATAGCGTCTGGCTGAAGCAGCAGAAAAATTCCAGAAAGAACATCAGTGGCAGGATGAATTTGCGGTGAGCTCATGTTTTTACTTTACTGATTTTCCCATGTGTGATTTTTTTCCTCCAGATTTCCTAAAATTCTTTGTATGTACAATTACACTTGGCCAATAAAGAATTATTCTATTCTGTTCTGTTCTGTTCTGTTCCGTTCCGTTCCGTTCCATTCCATTCCATTCTACCCTACCCTATCCTGTTCTGTTCATTTTTATTCTATTCTGTTTTGTTCTGTTTCGTTCTGTTCATATTTTATTCTGTTCTGTTCTGTTCTATTCCACTCCACGTCACTCTCTGATTTATTCTGCTCTATTTTATTCTGTTCTAATCTATTCTGTTCTGTTCTGCCTTCTCTTCTCTTCTCTACACACACACAGAGAGAGAGAGAGAGAGAGAGAGAGAGAGAGAAAACCCATGCCATTTCAGACATACAATATTGCTTTCATTTTAATTGGGTAATCTAGTGATTAAAGGTTTATATCCCGGCCATCAGCCTGTAAACAGACTCCTTCCCTTTTTAATCTTTTTCAGTCCTCCCTTCTGAGCCACGGAGCCCTCTTAGCAACTGGGTCTCACCAACTTGAAATAGTTATTTAAATATGCGGCTCCATCTGGAATGGAGAGGGGAAAAAAGCTAGGTAAAAAATAATTAAAGTCTTACAGCTGCTGTCAAGAGGTCTTTGGAAGGGTTTGGGAAAAACAGGGACAGAATCCAGTCTTTTCTTTTTAACAATGCAACTTCTTCATTAGAAAAGTCTAAAGTACCTTCAAGATACTAATTAATTTGGTGCCATCATGCGTTTGAGTTTTTGATAAGACGAAGTTGATAAGGAGCCCAACAGAAAAAGCTCCATTTGTGTCGAAAAGGATAATGCTCCTTGAGTTTTCTTTCCAGCAGTGTTTAAATGGCTCAAAAAATACTATTAATAATAATGAAATAACACCTGTTTAGAATCTATCCCACTTCTAATTATTTTCAAGATCAAGATGCAAAAGCAATTTTGTGAAGCTGGTTTGTTGCATTTTTCTAGGGAAAGCTATCTAATCAAATACAAGGGTAGGCAACATAGATACTTATCCGTCTTGCAAATCTGGGCTAGAAAAGTGTCCAATCACTGAATCTCCTTGCTGCCCCCTAGAGATGATATGGAGCTTTGCAATTCCAATCGGGAAATCCTCACTTATAGAGGTGCAGGTAGTATAAGTTCATTTAGTGATTGATCAAAGTTACAAAGGCACTGAAAAAAGGGATTTGGGGCCATTTTTCACACTTACCACCTTTGTAGCATTCTCACCAGAGGTGGTATTCAGCAGGTTCTGACCAGTTCTGGAGAACCGGTAGCGGAAATTTTGAGTCGTTCAGAGAGCCAGCAAATCCCACCTCTGACTGGCCCCGCCAACCCCATCTCTTCTCTGCCTCCCATTGAGTCCCAGCTGATCGGCTGGGTCTCCTTTGGTTGCCCTGCACAGGAGAACAAAGCTGGAAAGCAGGCTAGTGGGGTGGGGAGGGAATGAGGATTTTACAGTATATCCTTCCCCTGCCATGCCCACCAAGCCACACCACACCCACCAAGCCACACCCACTGAACCGGTAGTAAAAAAAAAATTGAATCCCTCCATTGATCCCCACAATCAAAATTCAGATGCTCAGCAACTGGTTCATACTTACGCCCATAGTTGTGCCTGGAGGTCACAATTTTTGTGACCTTTTGACAAACAAAGTCAAGGGGGGAAGGGGAAGTCAGATTCACTTAACAACCAGGTTACTAACTTCTCAACCCGTACCGAACCAGTAGCTAATTTTAGGGCCACTTCGGTGAAACAGCAAATCCCACCCTTGGCTGGTTCCCCCCCCCTCCCAGGAGTCCCCACGCGGCCTGTTTTGGGTCCCAGGTAAGTGCAGGGCATGCACAGAGGCTCGGGGAGGGCAAAAAACAGGTCTTCCAGAGGCTCCGGAAGGCCTGAAATGGCCTCCAGAGGGCCTCCAGAGCCAGGGGAGCCATTTCGCTCTCCTGGAGGCTCAAGGAAAGCCTCCAGAGCCCGGGAAGGGTAAAAACGCCCCCATCATGGTGCAGGAGGCCAACTAGACCATGCCCACCATGGCCACACCCATCCAACAACCAGGCAGGTTGCTAAAAAAATTTAAAAAAAACAATTTTATTGGTTTTTTTAAAAACCAAACAAACCAAACAAAGCATAAAAACATCAGCTCTCTTCCATACTAAAATTTTTGAAGCCCAACCCTGGTCAAAAGGAACAACAAAATTCCATTGGCAACATTTCAGCCCCACTTCAAATTTGGGACATTTCTCTTGCAAGGGAAAAAAAAATGTTTCTGGATTTCTTCCCATCTCTCTGTTTCTTCCTCTTCTCCTTATAAACTGTGAAATGTCCAATTAGCATTGTTCCTTTTCCCATTTCAAACAGGGAATTGATTTTTTTCCCACGCTACTACTAATTAGGTATCATACCACTGGAAAAGAAACAAAAAAAAAAACCATGAGAGAAAAAAAAAGTACAATTAGCTCCAACTTTCTGGTGCTGAGAACCTTTTTTTCCCCTTTTTTCCCCTGATTTGGAGATGTTTTAATCCAAGCGGCAGGCTTCTTTGACATTAGAGGGACACCACAAAACTGGGAAATGGTTAACCTAGTTTATTCATCCCACACCACTTGATGTATCCTCCTGCTTTTAGTTTGCAAGATCGGGCAGTTCTGAAAAAGCCAGCATGTTCTTAAAACAAATGTGGCCACTTGCAATAATGAGCTGTTTTGCTGGCAGGAGACTGGTAGGATTTCACTGCTAAACTTCCACGTTGCTTGCAACTTGATGAAATCTGTGCATGCTCCATGATTAAAATCTATATTTTCTTCTAAACTTCCTTTCATATTCTCACTGTACAGGCTGTTTCCATGCTGCAAAGCTTTTACGATTCTATTTTCACAGAAGCCAATTTAGAATGGAATAGTGCTGGAAGGAACCTATGTATATTTGTTGTGGTTCGCCAGCAGCTGCTGCAGATGGCAGAGGTATCGGACAGTGAGGACAAACGGGAACCAGTCAGGGAGTCTGGAGAGGACTCGGATGAGGGTCCTGCATCCAATGCAGAGATAGGCCAGGACCATCTGAGAGTTATGTGCTGATTCCAGAGCCTCCACAGTCTGGCAGCAGCAAGGCAGAGGACTTAGGGGAGCCTGCTCCCAGTGCATATGTGCACAGAGCTGCTAGAAGGCAAGAGCAACTGAAGCAGAAGGGGTGACTCGGGAGTAAGGATGGGAGTGATTGCCCCTCCCATAAGGGATAAAAGTCAGCCCTCAATGATGAAGAGCTTTGCAGGAAGCAAAGCAGTTCAGTAATCTCTGAGTCCTTTGTGAAGCCCTGTACTCTGGTCAGTTTTTTCTAGGTTTTTGGGTTGGTTTATGTTAATTGGACATCTGTTTCTTGGCAAGCATTCAACAGCATTGAGAAGCATGCTCTTATCTGGAGGAATTGTGTCTAATGAGTTTTGGCTGGGAATGCAAGTAATTCCCAGCATCTCATTAAAAAAGGTTTTACTTTTAAATTCAGTTTGTGTTTCATTAAGTTTGATGAAGCCTGGGTCAGAACAACATTGATGGAGCACCAATGGTCGGATTCTGCCAGTTCGTACTGATTCCAAAGAACTGGTTAACTTTCTGAGCAGTTTGGTAAACTGGTTGTTGGAAGAAATCATTAGGGCAGAAGAACCTCACCACTGTGGAGAACCCACAACTTCTGGTGGCAAGGCGTTCCACTGGTTAATTGTCTTCACTGTTAGGAAGTTTCTTCTTAATTCCAGGTCGCTTCTCTCCTTGAGTAGCAATATTCTACCTGATGGAATAGCTTTTCAAAATTGACTGAATTTTGAAAAGTTTCAAAATTTGTCCCCTATGACATTATTCCATCTTATTCTGAGGATTCTTGGCCAACATATGCATATTAGCTGCTCCTAACAAGTCGAAGTTATAACAAATATTATCAACATATACATACAAACATAGATATACAGGTTGTGTGTGGGGGGGTCTGTGTGTCTGTGTGTGTATGTATATATATGTATGTATGTACATACATATATACATAAAAAAACTTAGCTGGAATTTCTTTTTTTAATTTATATATATGTGTGTGTGTGTGTGTGTGTGTATGCATGTATGTATGTATGTATCCGAACAAAGCTGAATACCATACATGTAAGTACCCACGAAAACTTAAGAAAACACACACACATACACACACACACACACACATATATATATGTGCGTGTGTGTGTGTGTGTGTGTGTGTGTATGTATATGTATGCATGCATACATACATACATACATACATACACCACAAAACTTCAGGATGTCACAACACAGACAACGACCCAGGAGATTACAGCACAAGACCCAGGATGTCACAACAATAGAACTCGGAAGGTCATCACACAGCCCATTACCCAGGTCATTACAACACAGGAGGAGGATAAACACACAACCAATACCTCAGCCCCACATGTTCTTACAAAAAAGCCAGCCAATCTCCAAACATCAACTCCATCAACCAATCAAGAACTGACAACACAGCCAACCTCCCCACCAGTATATATAGGGAGACGGCAGCTCTGATCACACTTTGCTTGCACAAACACGAAGCCAAAAGCACCAGCCTGAAGATGGCGAGTGGGGACTTCATAGAAACGTTGCCAAGATACTCTCAATCTTACACAGGAAAAGACCCGAACACACCAAGACCTGCATGCATGCATACATACATATATACATACGAATTAAAAAAAGAAATTCCAGCTAGGGTTTTTTTTTTTACACTAAAGTGATGCACAGAGTAAAAAAAACCAGCAATTAAATTAGGGTGCATTTTTTCTTCTTCTTTAATACCAACAATTTTGTATCTTACGTTTTCCCTTTCCAATAATTTTGATGATTCGCCAGAGCTTCTGTAACATGCAACTCATAATATATGCAAATAAAGTCCATTTCAATTGACTTTCTGTTAAAATCCTGGAAAGGAAAGGGAATTATGATCCAGCTCGTAATAAAAGCTGCCACCTTTTTAATTTGAATGTACATTTAACAAGATCTTCTCATCCCTCTGCATTCTTAAGTCACCCTCTTTAGCAATTATCCAGTTCTCTCCGGCCTTAAATTATACATGGAAGCATTAAAAAGCTATTACAACTTTATTATATCAAACGCTATTAAAATGAAAGTAAAATTGTGTTTGAGAGATGCACACTCTTTATCGCAGATTATTGCATTTTTTCCCAAGCTGGCATTTCTACTCGATGGTCTTAGGCATCTTAGAGGGATATGCAACTACAACTGCACCATTTGTGAAGTTGTGAAGGTGTTTTGAGTGTAGGCATTCTGACGTGCACCTTTGAATACCAAACCAGGTGTCAAGATTGGCTTCTTTCAAACCCTAAACCTTTCAACTTCTTAATGAACCAGTGGGGCGGGGGGGGGGGGGAATGAAATGCCAAGAATGTATGTGGAGATTGTGAGAGCCTGGAAAACATCAAGGTCACCACTGCAGGTGCTGGAGAAAGAAACGGACTGTTCCCATAACAAAGAGATGTTTCATTATTGGATAATGGGATCACCTAGTGTTATGCCCTGCCAGCAGCCAGTGGAGCTGGAGGCAGTGAGGAGGTTGGGGAGGAACATGGGCCAGTCCTGGAGTCTGGGGAAGACTCGGACGAGGGCTCTGCTTCAGAGGCAGAGATGGGGCCAGGGCCGTCTGACAGTTGTTGGCTGCCTTCACAGTCAAAGATCAGTGAGGAAGAAGAATAGCGGGAGCCTCTTCCCAATGTGTGCATGCGCAGAGCTGCCAGGAGAAGTGAATAGTTAAGGAACAAGGGTTGACTTGGGAGTAAAGGCTTAGGTGGACAGTGAATGGCCCCTCCCATAGGGAATAAAGAGGAGCAAAAGGGGAGGGGTGTTTGCAGGAGACACTTCGTTCAATTCATTAGGGTGAAGATCTGTTCCTGACTCCTTGCCAAGTAGTCTGCTGTAGCGTGGCGTTTGGAAGCCGTTGGCCTGGCAGCTCTTCCAGCCTGATAAATGTCTGTAGTTGTGAAATCTCACAAAAGACTGTTTGCCAGGACTTCGCTGGAGAAGGATTCCCTTTATACCTAAATAAAAGAGGTTTTATCGGGACAAGGAGTCCGTTTCATGATCTTGGGAAGCCTTGACCCAGGGGTGGGGAGATGGGGAAGCCACTGTTTCACTGGGCAAGCATTTGCACGAGAAAACCAGAGCTGGTTTTGTTTCTTCAGTACCAAAATGATGTATCCAATAATAATAATCCAATTACTTTGGGGGATTCAAATCTCTTGAGAGTGTTTCCTCGTCTTGGGCTCACTAGTTAGACAATTGACACTAGGTTTCATATTCATTCCATAGCCTAGAACTTTACACGCCTTTAAAGGTGGTCCTTGACTTATGACCACAACTGAGCACCCAATTTCCATTGCTAAGCAAGGCGCCCTGTTTTGCCACCTTTCTTTTCACACCCATTAAGCAAATCGTCTGGTTTCATTAAGCGAGTCTGGATTCCCCCATTGAATTTGCTTCTCTGAAGCCAGGGATGGGCTGCTGGAGGGTTTGCAGGGGTTCAGGAGAGCTAAGATTCTGTGCAGTTTGGAGAACCCACAAATCCCACTCCTGGCTAGCCCCACCCACCCCACTCCACCCCTCCCACGAGTCCCCATGTGGCCCATTTTGGATGCAGGTAAATGCAGGGTGTGCACAGAGGCTCAGGGAGGGCTAAAATGGGCTTCCCAGAAGTTCAAGAAGGCCAGAAATGGGCCCGTTTTGGCTTCCAGAGAGCCTCCGGAGCCCGGGGAGTCCATTTTCACCCTCCTAAACACTTGATGGAAGCCACTGGAGCCCGAGGAGGACAGGAACCTGACTAGGCCACATCCCACCATAGCTACATCCACCCAGCAACCAGGCAGAGAACCTGTTGCTAATTTTTTTGACGCCCACCCCTGTCTGAAGCCCCCTAGGAAGGTTGCAAACAACAATCCCACCATCCTGAGATGTTTCAACTAATTGTGAATACAGGACTGCAACAGTTGTAAATGCAAGACATAGTCACTGGTCACTTTTTAGGGGGCCCCTTATAACTTCATCACCTCATGTAACGTCTGGCAGCTATTTCAATCAAGAAGCTCGGTCGAGAATATATGAAAGGGGAATCCTTCTGCAGGTGGTCCTCAATTTACAACCGTTCATTTAGTGACCATTTGACATCACAACGGCAGTGAAAAAAAACTGACTTAGGAGTGTTTTTTTACACTTATGACCGTTGCAGAATCCCCATGGTCCCATGTTTGAAATTCAGAGGCTTGGCAACTGGCATGTACTTATGACAGTTGCAGTGGCCCAGGATCACATGATCCTCTTTTTGTGACTTTCTGACAAGCAAAGTCAATGGGGAAACCAGGTTCACTTAATGACCGTGTTCCTAACTTATCAACGGCAGTGATTC